GCGGGAGAGAGGGGCCGCGGCCCCACCACGCCCACGGTCCCTCGCCGAGCCGGGTAGCGGGGCGAGAGCGGCCCGGCCCCCGCCGCTGCCGCCGCCGCTGTTGTTGAGACCGAAATTTCCGTGAAGGTCTGGCGGTGTTTTGCGGGGCTGAGGGAGTGTAGGGCGAGGCCCCGGGATGTGAGGGTGCCCGGGTGAGCGTGCGGGCAGGGCGCTTGGGGCAGCAGATAACGGGCAGTGGTCGGCAGGGGGGCTCCGGCCGAGCTCCCGGCCAGCCGGCAGGTACCGGTGTGCGGCCTCTTCCCCCCGCAGGCACGGGAGGCTGCAGCCTTCAGCACGGAAACCACAGCCGAGGTGATGCACAATAAAGTTGCTAGATGACCAGGGAGGCGTTGTCTTGTTCCATTTGAAAATAAGGGATCGCGATAGACAGGTGTCCATCGAATAGGTGCGAGGAAGACTTCGAGGCTATTTGTGTGAGTAGGAAGGTTTCCCCCTCGTGCCCCTGCGCTGGCTGCTGTTGCATCATAGAAGGGCACGAAATCAGGAAGTGAGATCGATCGGCTGGCACAGCCGAGCAGCATCGACGACTTGTCCCGTAACACACATTGCAGGTAGGAGACAGACGGGACTCTTGCTGTTCTCAATGTCTGCACAACTGTTGTGCGTTCAGCAAGTGGTGTTTGGGCATACCTGTGTGTGCCAACCCCTGCTCCGTCCAGAAATGACGTAGTCGGTGATCCTGAAGAGTATTGTCTAGTTTACTCACAGGCAATCATATGGGAAAATTAAAAAAAAAAATAATCGTGTTCTAGTAATGTTTCTGCAGCTATTAAGATACACTGGTTAAAGAAACCTTTCTAGGTCCTGCAGCAATACTGCAGCAATAGAAAATCAGTCAACGTCTAGTCTAGCTTTACCAGTTTCTTCGAGGCTTAACCAAAAAGACTTTGTTCTGCAAAGAACTGACATGTAAAAGCTACCTAGTGTGCTTGGATTGCTTTTGGGAGGGCAAAATAATCGATAACAATGACCCGAAGCTTTGTAGGGAGTGAGGGACATAGAAATCTAGATTTCAGCCCTTGAATGTTCTCTTTTATGTGTAGTAACCTTTGCCTATCTTGCTGATAGATGGAAGTTAGTGTCAGTTTTAAAAAAATGGCAGCTTTCTCAAAAGAAGCTCAAGCAAAATAGCAAAAAGCAAAATGGAAGGAGCTGCTTTGGGCATTATGCACAGTTTGGCGTTAATTGGCTTGCAGGAATGGAGGAATGGTGTTTATGCATAATCATTAGCATAGTGTTCGGAAACAATAAGATTAGTGATGACTCTTTTTTTTCTGCTTGTGTGGCCTATGGCATGACAGTTACAATGTTAAGGGAGGATCCATTTGTAATTCTCTGGGAGACCCAAGATGGTTTAATGTGAACCATTATTTATGAGGTCTGCATGAGTTGCTTGTGCTCTGTGTTGAGCGGGTGATTGTATATGGTCTTGGCTGCTAGCAGGTACAGCTGTGGAATTAAATTTGAAAGAAGTCAAGAATTCTGGATATTACTCTTTATACTTTAATATTTGACAATTACACCAGTTCAAAGTTTAATAGATATCATATTAGTTGTGGTAATAATTACTTGAAGGGAGGCAGCATACAGAAATTGAGTGAAAAAGATTGTTCAAGATACTGTAAATACATGAAATGTTAAATACTGTGAAACTTTCAGGTATCTTGTCAACATTTTAAAAAGTCTTTCAAGGCTCTTCCTTTAGTACTTTCAAATGCAAATCTCTAATGTCACTTCACCTTTAAAATTTTGCTTAGAAACTTTTCAGTGTTTCGAGAAACAGTGTGTTGGGAACTTGATGGTTTAGTGGCAAGATGCTTGTAAAAAGTGCCAAAATATGACTTTATATATACACATACTAAACAATGTGTAAATAACATCAGTAGAATAAAAGAAAGTGTCAGCAAATTTGATAATTTTGACTGAAAATACTGGCCTGGTCTGAGCTAGCTTTGTAAAACGATACGTGCTGTATTGCTTGGGAGGAATGAGCTTATTGGCATACTTGATGTACTACTGCAATGAAGGAAACATAACCAACTTACAAATGTTATCAGACTCACAAAAGAAAAAGGCAGGATTTATGGATTGCAACTTTAATAAACAGTTAGGCTTAGTTTTTCACAAGAAATGCATCAAAAACTTAATATGGAAAGGTATATGCAGCTTTCAGCCAGCGTTGCAGGAGGCAGGAGGTGCTGGTGCAGTCTGTTCAGCACTGCTGCCCTCTTCCAGCTTCTGCAAAAGCAACAAAACTGCCTCCGTTCCTCCATTGCATCTCATTTTTTCCCCTCCAGCTTCTCTCTTTTACTGCCAAAAAAAGAGAAGGCATGGAAACTCCGTTTCTCTTGCTTGCTCCATCTCACCGATCCACTCCTACTTGATGTAAAAATACATGCATTGTTAGTCCACCCATATATATTGCAGCTAACCATGGATGTGAACGGCTAGCCAGCCTAATAAGAAGCCACCACACACTCTAGCCCAGCTGGATCCGTGCAGAGGGTACTTGGGACCAGTGACATCAGGGCTCGTAAGATGAGCCATAGAGTTGATAATACTGGTATGTGGAGGGGGCCAGTGGAAAGGTGAAAAGGCCCTGTTTGGATTTCATAAGGGAAAGGTTTCCTCCCTGTGGTCCAGGGAAGGGAGTCTGGTACAGCCTAGATGCTAACAAGCCTTAGTGACGCTGTCAGGTCCTCTCAGCATCACTCTGCTTCTCCTAATGGTATTCTGCTGTGGGGAAAAACACTGAATGTGAGAGATTGGAGGAGCCCAGGATGGAGAGAGACAGTGCAGCATCTGTTTGTGTTCTGGGCACAGGCTAAGGGGTTTTAACTTTATGTTTCTGTGGATCTGCTGGAATGATGTTCCGTGAATGCATTTACCTGTCAGTGTTTCTTGCTGCAGGAGACACTGCTTTGCTGCCAGGTGAGAGTTCAGTGGGAAATTGAGTTCTCCGGAAGTCATTGCAAAATGAAATGAAATGAAAATTGTATTTTCAGTTAAAAACTCTTTTTGTATTCTGTTTAGGAGCAGCAAGTGAGGGTGCAGAAAGCTCAGATAGAACTTCGTTGTCTCTGCTGTTATGTACTGTTCTACGGCTTTACATCTCTTGTCCTAAGGTGTGGGTGGCAAAATTAATGTACAGTGGCTGATGTGGTTACTACATACAGCTTTAGTTATCATTTCTGTCCTGCTTCTGTGGCAGGGACAACTGTGTGGAAAGTGTACCAAGTGCTTCAGCCTATCATTTTCTCCTGTCACTCTTATAGGGTAGCAGTTTTGGGGGACGGGATGGGTAAATACTACGTGAAGGACTTAAGTCACAAGAGGCCTTTGGTTTCTGCCTCAAGAGACCAGTTTTGCAAACCATTGCCAGGTAACTTCCCCATTCTGAAGACAAAGTCTTGGTTATTTGATTCTATCTTTGTCTTTTATATTGATCTTAAGTTTTGGACCCTTCCTTTCCTCAGTGCTAGCAGGTCTGGGTTTGCATTCTTCTTTAGTTATTTAGCTGAACCACTGATAATGCTCTCTTAAGAGAGCTTTTAAGATTAAACAGGATTCAAGTTTTACTTTGAGATACTTAGGTTTTAGGTTTTATTAATTCAGTATAGATGTATTCTTGGAATAGTCTGAATTGTGGGCAGCTGACAGGAGCATATTTTCTTAAGCATCCCCCATAAAATTTTCTACCAGATGTCAGTGTAAACCTGTATGTTCATTCACTTGCATCTTATCACTGAATTTTCTTTGATGCCCTTGATCCAAAATGTTTCTCTTTTAACATATTTCTCAGGTTAATTTCCCTGGATCCATTAATTTGTATATTCCTAGTAATGTTTGTCATGAGAGATTTAAAACCCCCTCCCAAAACTAAAACCCAAACAAACAGAAAACCACCACCAGAAAACTTAGTTCTGCTGCTCAGATGATTTTTGATGTGTATGAATGAATGATGTGTCCTGTAGTTACTTGGTCTCTCTCCATCTCTGTTGATAAAAATCAGATGGTGGCACGGTCACTTTAGAGACTGATGTGTTGTCACTTCTGATATGCTCAGCTCTTGGTCTTGATTCAGTCAATATGTGTGTGCGTGGAGGAGCTTCAGTGTTTTCCTAGCACTAAAGGCTAAGGATAACATACAACGTGCAGTAAAAAAGGAGGCTTCTTGGAGGTGTGTGTGGTACATGTTACTAGACCAACACGTTGGAAGCCCTTCTCCCTCGTGGGATTCTGTAGCTGCACAGGTGTAGGAGATACTTGTATTAAAAGACATTGCAGTGTCTCCCTGCTGAAATTGCCATACAGATGCAAATTGGTACTTTAAAGAAAGTTGTGACGGCTCCAGGGGCTAAATCAAAATCTGAGAGGAGAGTGCCTGTACATCTGAAACTTTCTGGATTAGATATCCCAGGATTCTGCCTGTTCGTGAAATTTAGCATCTACTTCCATCCAAAGAAGTAGCTCTTCCTACTAAACATGTCAGCATAAGGAACTATTGTCCTTTCAGTTTCCAGTGACTGCAGTAACTGTAGGCAGGGTGTTGTTTCTATGTTTCGTTGGACTGCTGCCTTTTTAGAGTAACATCAGGGACGCTGAAAGTTTGTTTTGTGCTTTTGGCTGTTTGTTTGGGGGTTTTTTGTTTGAAGGGAGGATTAATTAGCAACATTGTGTCAAGAGCAATGTTTTCTCATTTTCTGAGCATTGTATTGTGTTGTATGTGGTACAGACCTTGTGCTGAACTGAAAATCAGGTACGTGGTGATTGGCTTGAGTTTTGAACATCTGAAATTAAAACCATAATTCCTGAACATGTAACTGTGTGTGTTATGAAATGACTAGGATAGCAGGGGCTACATTTTCCAGCAGGGTCATGTTTGTGTCATCCTTCAGGCTCAAAGAAATACTAGTAGGGTGACTAGATGATAAATTAATTACAGTTGTTATATTCCGATGCCTAGATCTAGATTTAAAATAAATGACAAATTTGACTGAGATGCTTCCATCAAATTTATTTGAAGTAGTGTGTAGAGATGCTGCTTCTTTTCTCACTGTGAGGACAGCCAAGCTCTAGAAGAGGCTTGCATGGGGACTGGGCTGGGTCTGTCCATGGAGGTCTTCAAGATGTGGCTGGATAAAGCCCTGAGCTTGGAGCTAACCCTGCTTTGAACAGGGATTGGACTAGAGACCTCCCAAGGCCCCTTCCAACCTGAATTATCCTGTGATCCTGGATTAGAATTTGATTATGCTAAGTGTTATGCAGACGGGCGTTAACACTGTGCATAATCCCCTGTCTCAAGGTTGTCCTGGCAGCTGAACTTTCTTAAAGTAATACCCACAGAAGTAATTTCAGTTGATGTTAAGCAGTCAATGCCTGTTTTCTTTATCTAAGACAGATCTGCCTTTTTCTTTTGCAAGACTTTTCCTGTCAGTTTTGCTAATCACTATTTTGGATTCATAACATTGAAAAGATTTCACTCAAATTCTCACTAATAGTGAAATAATATATAATGTAAGTACATATGGAAGTGTGCACACAGAAAGAATAAAAGCAAGGATAGTACCTTGAGGGTGCATTAGTCTAATACGGCCAAAACTGGCTAAAGATGCAGCAGAGGTTTAAAACAGATTCAAGCAGGAATCATCTTTTCAAGGTGAGCTGGGCTAATGAAAGTAAGATGGTTTCTTAAATAATATTGCTGAGTCCTGGCAATAAAGATTCAGATGAGGTAGCCTGCAGAATGGGTGAGCAGAAACCAGTGAATTACCACATCACTGCAGAAATTTGAAGAATATTGCAGTCCTGGAAGAAGGAAACATTTTAGGATATATGTTTTATAGAAAACTGAAAAAGGAGAGGAGAAGAAACATCAAGACATTTAAAATAGTACTGCAGCTGAGTAAACGCTTCAAGTCTGTGGAGACCCTAATTCTGAGTTAAACTCTAATAGGTATCAGAGTACCAAAACTGAGAACCAGAGTGCCAGAAAATCCTAACTTAATTTTGGAGGTAACTTTTGGGATTTACAAAACTGCAGAGTGTTAATTGCACAAGGAAAAACGACACAACTCTTAATGATGAGTGATGTTAATTTTGGTGATCTTGACATGCAGGATTATGATATCCTTGCGTTGTCATTACAGCGAGCTGAGTAAGCAGACTGCAGACCCTTTAGAAAATTGAAAAGCAGAGTTAAATCTCCCAACAAAGAGTCTGCAAAGTGCAGACAAAGCAAATTTACGTGAAAGTTGGCACATGGAAGGCTAATGCCTAAAATGCTACCATTCCTTTGGCAGAGCTGCTGTGTAAGAAGTGAAACTGTTTTACCAAAGCCCATCAAAAGGGACCAGAAGTGCTCTGAAAAAATCAGTCTGTGCTTGTAATATTCTGTACGATGAAGAAGAGGTGGAAGAGGTTTTTTTCCTTTTAAGCAGCTCCTAAGTCTACATCCAGCTGTTACAGTATTGCCTTGAATGTGAGCAGCTCTCAGGTTACTTGTGCATCTGTCGTCAAGTGTAACACCGGATGTCGCCTAAAGGTTTGAAAGCAAAACCCAGCCCTGTGGCCACAGGCAAAGTGCAGATTAGAGAGGTTAAATTGCTCATGTTTCTAGGTAGGTATAAAAATAGCACAAGATTGCTTCTCCCTCCCTCCCTCTCTCTCTTCAGGCTAATGGTTCTAGAAAGAACTGAGCTGCATGGTCTCACTGGCGATGACCACGCGACCCCTTGGGGCAGAGGTTGTTTTTCCAAAGACACTGGGGTACCTGCACAGCTGGTGTAGGTCAGCGGGTGGATCGAGCTGGGTTCTGCCTCCCAGGGGGCTGAGTGTGTAGCTTGTCAGTAAGGCTGGCTGCTTGTCAGAAAGAGCGGGGGTAGGGAAAGGGAAGGATGGGACGTGCTGGTCCAGAGCAGGAACTGCATGAAGTGTAGAATGGGAAAGGAAGAGCTGATTTTCTAGCAAATGAGTAGATAGGCCAATGCTAACAGAGTTGTTTGGTGTTAAACATAGCCAAGAAAATTCGGGGCAAAGGTGAATCTGGTGCCATGTATCTAAATGCGTTCAAAAATAAATACCTTTGGATTTGTGTGCCACTGTTGAAAGAGTTTCCCATGTGCTGGGAACCTTTTCTACCTCCTTAATTTTTGCATTGTTTCCTCTCTCCAGAAGAAGCTTTATTAAAGCACATAACTGCAAAAATACCACCTTACATGGGAAAAAATCATGGGAGCTAAATGTTCTGCAAAGGGTTTTTTTTAATATGCTAACTTTCAAGACACCTACAACTGGGAAACAATTCAAAATTGTCCACAAGTTTTAAAAAGTGGAGACTTGAATTCAGACTTACGTTTGGCACTGCTAAAACACCGCTTTTGAACATGGAACTGTTGTCTTCTGTGTTTGTTTTTTTTTTTTTTTTAATAGGCTTAAGCTTTCTACTGATCACCTGCTGATAGTGTTTAAGGACATTCATTATTCCTATAAAAAGGCAAATACAATATTGTAACAGGTTACAGGGGCTGAACCATTTGCTGTTGCAAGAATGCACATATATCTACATGTTGGCGAAACGTGGATGGAAAAGGCAGTGATGCGTTGGGTTGCTGTTTTGGCAAGTCCTCACTAAAGGGGTGTGAACTTCCAGGGGATGCAGGGGGCATCTTCACCTCTTTCACTTCTGCAGAACGAGGGGCACACAATACATGCGATGTCTCCAGCGGTGAGACAGCAGGCTGCTGAGGAGGCTCTGGGACACAGCCTCTGCTCTGAACAGCACTATGAGACCTCTTCACTTGTTCACAAAATAGATTTCCTAGCAAACATTGGGAGTTGCCAGCAATTGGCTGCTGCTGACCTCAGTAGTTTTGCCATGTCTGGAAGGGGGAAGGCAGGCTTCTCCCATATTCCTCCAGCTGAAATGTGGTTATTGCCTCCTGGGACAATAAATCCCTAGCTGGGGAGGGAAGTGCTGGCTCTTCTGGCTTCCCTCTTTCTCCTGGAATTCAAACTACCTATTAAGCTGTGACCTCGTCTCTGAAGCCTCAAGGGGAAGGCTTCTTGTTGGCCACCATGTCAGAACATTGTGAGAGGAGCAGTAAAGGATGCCCAGAGGTGTGAGGCAGGGCAGGATCAGGGAAAGCAAAGGAAAAACAGGACTCAGAAGGCATCTAGGAATGACTGGTGCCTTGGGGAGGATGAGGATGCAGAGCTGGTCCTTCAGATCTGTCTAGGAGATGTTTGTCAGTGAGCTTGACAAAAGCTGTTTGAGTGGAGGGTAATGGTGACTTGCACTCTAATAATTGTAGGTAAAGCATTCAGTGAGTGGTGGGCTGGCTTAGGTTTTGAGGGTGATTCAGAGAAACAGATGCCTTGACCTGTTCTGGTCAGACTCTCATGGGAACAAACACAAGGTTGCTGTATATGTGCTGCATAAACCAAATGTTTCTGTGCATAGCCTGTGCCTCTGGCTGAATTTCTGGGGAAGCTTCACAAAATGGTTTCACTACTTCCACTGTCAATAAAGCTCAGTAATGAGAGGGGATACTGTTCTCAAATAACAGAGTATTTATGCTTTGTATAAGTTGGTCTCATAGTTCTAAGTTGATTAAAGTGCTGTTTTTCAGCAACAGCTGCACTTAACAGTGTAACAAACATACCTGAGAGGTTTCCACCTTCTGGTTGTAGATGGATGGTGATAGCTCCACAACGGATGCTTCTCAGTTAGGAATTGCTGGAGATTACATTGGCGGCAGTCACTATGTGATACAGCCTCACGATGGTAAGAAATGTTCCAGTAAACACTACTATTTCTCTGTGTGTGTGTGTGTGTGTGTGTGTGTGTATATATATATATATATATATATATATACACTTTATTCCTTCCAGTTCTTGTATAGTGCTCTGCTATCTTCTCTCAAGCTAAGAATTTGCAATTGTTTGTATTTATAATGCCTCACTGTATAAAGCATTTTTTCTGCAGTCTGAAGGTGGGGGTTGGATTTTTCAGTGTTGACACAGAGTCCTTTGGGGCAATGACAAAAAAAGTGATGTTCTAGGAACTGTTTGTGTGTTGATGTCACAATAAGCATGCTTGGTGTTCGTCAGCCACACACATTTCTGCACGTAATGTGATAAAGATGATACTGAACAGCCATAAAGGTACCCTGGTGTTGCATCTATTTTTAAAATTATTTCTACAATGTTAATACACTCTGCTTTCAAAGGTCTTCATCCTCCAGTATAAGATTTAAAAATGACTTAATTATTGCCTGCTGTCTATCAAATACAATTTCTGTTAACTTTTCTTTATTTCATTAGACACAGAGGACAGCATGAATGATCATGAAGATACAAATGGCTCAAAAGAGAGTTTCAGAGAACAAGATATATATCTTCCAATTGCAAATGTGGCAAGGATAATGAAAAATGCCATACCCCAAACAGGAAAGGTAATACCCTTGTCTGCTAAAGCAAGTGTGTTAATGAGTTTGATTCCTTCCTCTGAATGAACTTGGTCTGGTAGAACAATATATTTTCCCAAATGATCCTGTTTTTTGGAGGAGAGCCTTAGAAAAGAAAAAAAATCTGAGCAGGAGGTGCTTGGGACCAAGTCCATTTTTCTTACGTTTCTGAAGGCTTTTAGTAACTGCCATAGTTATGAAGTATCCAGAGTAGGATAGAGTAGCATATAGTAGTATAGTTATAGAGTATCCAGAACAGTGCTTTTCATAGGGCTTTCAGGAGCTTTCTTTTTCCAAGATGTGTTTTCTGAAATCATCATAAGGGGTCAGACTTGGTGACAATCCTGTATCCATGAGAATATTTTCTATGCAATTATCCTTATGAAATTTAATCTGCTTTTATTGAGGTGCATAAAATTTGGAATAAGTGAACCATTTTGGATGAAACAAAAATCCAGTCATCCTGAAGGAAAGAGAATGGTTGGTCTTCGATCGCCTGAAACTTTACATATCCAAATGCCAAAATGACCTACGAAGTCTGCCTTATACCATGTAGGAGATAAGGCCAAATGTTGAAAGACATTGTATTTCTTACTTAGAACAGATTTTTTTTTTTTTTTTAAATCATTCTGCTGAGTTGGTGATTGTATGTGTTTGACCATTCTACCTGTTTATCTTAAACCTTTGCAGGGCTCCTATTACTTGCCGTTTCTCTCTTGTATTCCAATACGCCTCCTGCCCCAGTAACATTTCCTCTAGCTAAAGCTGATTTGTTTTTTGTTGGTTGTTTTTTTTTTTCTTTTTTTTTTTGAGATTACTCTTAAATAGAAGCAAGACATAATTTACTTGCATCTGCTTGTACTTTCATGGTGTTCAGGGCTTTCTGGAGATCTGGGTGTTACAGTTATATCTTTGCTGTGAAAATCTCTTCACTAGTCCATATTGTCATAAATTTTTAGTGATCAAGATGAGATTTTTCTCAAGAATTTAGCATATGGGATGTCGAGCTATCTTGAAAAATCAGGGAGGTTCTTGTGAAAAACTGCAAGGGAAGCTGCTGGCTGATGAGTTCTTCTGAAAATCTCACCCTATGTGTCTGAAAATATCAGAGGAACTAGTGAAGATTCTACATACGGTTTCTGCTTAATATTTTAAAAATACGAACAGGTTATTCTCGTGAAGAATAAGAATCTTAATTGTTGTAATCTTTCAGTTCGCTCCTGTCAGCTTCCCAAATAATCATGGGTAATGCTTGCTGTTACTTTAAATCAGGTAGATGACTTTTGTCCAGCTGAAAACCATAATCAGATTTACTTACTTCATTCTTGCCAGGGGCTTATGTTTCTTCATCTGAATTCTCATTTGGAAAATTTATACCAGAATATTAAAGCATTAGAGAGGCTTGCTGCTAGGCATGTATTCTAGTCCCTAAATCTGGTCAGGATTGCCAGATTTGTGGGAACATACTGCAGTGGGATTGGAACTGCTGGGTCAATTAAAAGGAAGATGGAAGTGGGCTATGATATTATAATGAGCATGTTTAAAGAGAAGGTGTAGATAAGCAAAGGAAGCAATACTGGAGATGCATCTGTATGTAAAAGCTTGTACAGACCATAGTTACGACTTCAGGAGAGACTGGCAGTTGCCTGTGCTGCTTGAAATGGTAAAACAGATCAAAATCGTGTTGCAGCTGTGCTTATGCAGAGCAGTGATGACATCCAGTGGTTCCCTCACATACAGGTGTTGCCTAAATGGGTATTATCATCAAATTTGGGGATGTTTTCTTTATTATCTAGCATAATCTTTGTGGGGGGTTTTTTAAGTCTTCTTGCATCTCGATGAATAATTTTATGATACTTTCTCCTTACTAGATTGCTAAGGATGCAAAGGAATGCGTGCAAGAGTGCGTAAGTGAATTCATCAGCTTTATAACATCAGAAGCAAGTGAGAGGTGTCACCAAGAGAAAAGAAAGACGATCAATGGAGAGGATATTCTCTTTGCCATGTCTACCTTGGGGTTTGATAGCTATGTTGAACCTTTGAAGTTATACCTCCAAAAATTCAGAGAGGTTGGTATATACTTCAGTATTTCCTTATTTATTTAGGCTGGTTGTGTTTATCCTTAGCTCCCTGTCATTGTAATAGTATAATGGATAACTTGCATAGTACCTCACAGTCAGGAACTAATGTAATGTTTAAAAGCTTTCCAGAGGATATAAAGAGAAAAAGGACTAAGTAAGCATTTTGATTAGACTTGCTGATTCAGAGTAGTTAAAGCTTTCAACTGAATAAATTCTCTAATATATTGCTGGTAGTAAATCACTCTGTTCTTTAAAGGTGCCTATTAAGAATACTTAATTCAATCTTTGAGTTCAATCAATAAAACTGTACTAGACTGCATCCTCCGAGGAACTAGCCTAATGCCTATTGTTTGTCTGGGCTTCAGATCTGCAAAAGAAAAAGTTGGTTTTCTCATGTCGGAATAATGATTCACATGGAAGCCTATCTGCTTCAATGATTTTTTTAATCTGTGGTTTTTAGCCTGTCCCTCAGTTTGCTTTTGATACATAGTATGTGCTAGGTATATGATCCAAGCAGTTTAATTTATCCCTTCTCTAGCAGAAAGTGACTTTTTTTTTCTTTCAGCAGTTTAAATATTTTGAAAAAGAAGTTGCTTCTGCTTGGGCTTTTTGTTCTGGTCTGCCCCCTGCCTCCTGAGAAGAGAAAATTATGCTTGCTTGCTTGATTTACTTTGGTGTTCTTTTACCTCAGAATACTAGGTTTGACCAAACAAATCAAAGGTATTTTATCCAGTGACCTCTCTTCCTCATAGTCCTCGATGTGGAAGTTGTTAAGGATTAAAATAATCCTGGGGGAAAAAAAAGTCAAATTAACTTTTAGTTTTTTAAATGTGAATCCCTCTGTTGGTATAGCTGCTTGGTTTTACTGACATGAGTGAAGCAGGTATGTCTAAATTGGCAGTGGTGTAGGTATAGATGCCGTTAAGACTTTGTTCTAAATCTTATGTTCTTTAATCAGACTTGCTAGTGGTATTGAATTTACTGATAGCACTTGAAGCTTCCCCTTCACAGAAGGTTATTTGCTGTGATAACTGAGTAACAGGAGGTGTAATCTAAAAGTTGAAGTACTGCTGTGTGCACTCTTCTTCCAGTCCTGTGTAGTAGTTGCACATGCTGTCATGTGCCTTAGTAAAAAAACGCAAGTAGTGCCTAACTAATTTCAGTACTTCTGGAGAAGTCTGAAGTGGGTCTATGCTGTTTTCATTCTGAAATGACCGTTTTTGCAGGTATGTTCTGTGGTAGCAGAATAGTGGAACTGGGTTTTATTTGGATGGATGGATGGATTGGATGGTTTTGCTTACCAGTTTTAAACCTCTATTCCAGCTAGTTCTGTCTTCAGGGTGCCATATGTAGTGTAATATTTCTGGTTTGTCGCTTAGTATTTAGTCTACACCAAACAGTTGCAGAGAATACTTTTTATACCTATATTATTTTCTTAGATTCTTATGTAATAGCATAGAACATCAAACTTCATACTTGCAAAACTGCATGCAGATGACTGGGAGCCTTGGCTTTCTGTGCTGATATCCTTTCTGGCTGTAGTTCTTGATGTGGGAAAAGAAATCCAGTATCTTGGTTTTAAATGTCAACTCTTAAGTTGTATGATGATGGCACTTGCGTGTGGTTGGTAAGCAAATGTTGCACATTCTCGGTAGTTCTGAGATTCTGTGATTTCTTGTAAATGCTCTTAACTGCTCCTTCTGGGTTACTGCAGATCTTCAACTTTCTGTAGAAGGTGAAAGCCTTTCTTGGAACTACACAATCGTAGTTTGTGGAGTTTTTGTTTCTGAGGAGTATGGCTAAGATGTAAAACACCCTTCATATATTCTTGTACTACACATGTTCTTAAATGCCATAGAGTTTACAGATCTTGGATTTCAAACTCCAGCTTGTGCACAGTGACTCTTCAGAAAGTTCCAAACCTTGGCATGTTGAAACAATATCTCAAGCCAACTGTAGTCTAACACAAATTCTTTCTCTTTTTCCTTTTGTTTTTTTTTTCCTTCTCTCCAGGCAATGAAAGGAGAAAAGGGCATTGGGGGAACAGTTACAACTGGAGATGGTCTAAGTGAGGAACTCACAGAGGAAGCATTTAGTAAGTAATATTTTTTAATTTATGACATTATTACTATGGCTTTTCTATAAACAACACTTCCTTTAGACATCAGAATTCTTAATTAAGGAATACATCCTGGACTGGCCACACGTTACACCTGTGATCCACTGAGATTTTCATTTGAGATGTCTGGAGAATAACCTGTTCTCAGATAAATTCTCCTGACTGGGAGGAGTTTATAGTCAGAATGAAGTAATATATTGATAAGAGCTGACACTCTAGTAATAGCTAATGTCAGCTGTGGAAGATTTTTTTTAAATGCATACACTAGTGCCAGTAGTTTTCTCTACATTAAACACAGATTGTAATGAAAGGTGCAAACTTTTTTTTTTCTTTCTTTTTTTCTCTCTGCTCCTAGTCATTTG